GGAGAGAGAGAAAAAAATGCTGGAAAACTGATTCTTCTCTGAGAGGGTTTCTTTTTAATATTTATTCCTTTTTGCCATATGGTGAGGTATTTGTATTTATTATAGTCAATGTGTTATAACGTCTATGATTGTGCTGATATTTTGTATTGGTGTTAGAAGTAAAATAATAAAAATATTTTAATAAAAGAAAACTTCACAGAAGAAACTGCACAATTCTAAACATAAAAAAGCACAAACATGCTTTAATCAATGGAATCAGACATAGAAAAATACACCAAAAAATACATTCATGTGAAAATGTGTATGGACACACTTATGGGTTTTGAGGAGTGGGAGAGAGAGATAACAGAAATGGAATGAGATGGAAGCTGGAGAGTTTTGAGGATCTCAAGCTTTTAAAATATGAACACACCTAGCCTTTGATGACCTTCTTGTATAACAGGGATGGACAATTGCCAAAGGCCAATTATTCACCCTTCTCCCTGTAGGTCACATCAGTGTTAGCAGTACACTAGAACTGATGTCACAATGTTTTCAGCCCCACTTTCAACTGGTTTATAGCGAAAAATCAAGACCTGATATCATACATCGTGCTTACAAAGTACAAATCTAAACCTATGTAATTACATAGTGGTTGAGCTACACTATCCATTTGCTGAATAGTACATTGTGCAGCTGCATGGCAGGCAGTTGAACTGGATGGCGCTTGTGGTCTCTTCCAGCTCCAAGATCCTATGACCCGAAACAGGAAGGCCAAAAAGAGCAGCTTTTCAAGGGCATGGCATGCAGATGACACATGCCTCTGGATCAGCTGGAAGCCACTCTAAGGCCACCTGCAAAAGGAGCAGTGAAAGTCCACTCCTTGATAACAACCCATTTGGGACCATGGTGGCAGCCCGCTTTCAGAGCAGGGCGTGCAGTTGCTGCACTCTCTGGATAATCAGGAACCGATCAGGGATGGAGCAGCCAGATGCTGCTCCAAGCTGCCGGTCTGTTTCACCCCTAGGATTCTATGTCTGCTTGTTGTCCTGTTGTGTCAAGGACAATTTACAATGGCTGTTCCTCCAGCCCCAGTGAATCAAGTGGTATACTGACCAATAGTTACACACCATCAAAGAATGTGCAACTGTATGGGTAGAGTTCTGTCGGTTACTCCCAACAAGAATAGATCTTATTCAGTTGTGGAATGCTAAGCCAACATTGAACTGAGTCAGTTGAGCCCAACTGACTCAATAGTTTTACTATAGTTGGAAGTAACAGTAGGATTTTGGAGTATGTGAAGTGCTTACAAATGCAAACCTACCATTTCACAGAGAAACCCACGACATGTATAGCCAGACAACATCAGAGTGTGGTCAAGATGGCAAATGTTATTAATGAGAAAATCAGACCAGCTAGGAGAAGCTGCAGCAGATTGCTTTTGCTTAAGCCTACTGGGAAGGGCAAAATTCCATCTCCCCCCACTGAGTTAATTTGAATGCCAACTACTTTTGCACCTTGAATTTAGTTTGCAGCAATGAACTAAGCTGAAGACCAAGAGGGGAAAGTGGAAGGAGAAGTGAAAAGCTGGAACATTTTAAAAGCAACGCTTGCTGCATCCACACTGCAGAAATAATCTGGTTTGACACCACTTTAACTGCTGTGGCTCGATACTATGGAATTGTGGGAACTACAAATTCCCAGAATACTACAAACTACAATTCCCAGAATTCTATAGCATGGAGCCAAGGCAGTTAAAGTAGTGTCAAACTGGATTATTTCTTCAGTGTGGATAGACTCTGAGATAGTGGGAAAACAAAGGATTAATCAGGACTGTCCCTTCCAAATCAGGAGAGTTGGAGGGTATGCACTTGTGAAACTTTGCTTACATAGCTCTGAGCTGAGCTTTCTCCATGCTCTTGTAAAGAAACTAAACTGCAGGTAAATGCTGGTACTGTGAAACATCTCATTGTTGGGAAGTGAGTCTTATAATGATAGCATAATAGAAAATACCTACAAAGATTTCACTTAGGCTCATCAATAAGAGAAACAGACTGACCTGTGCTAGCTAGTTTTGCATACCTTGTAGGAGTGGACAGGAGTGTTGTATTTTGCAATGATATGAAAACCTGTCTGTGTTTTTATGGATAAGAAATGATAACACTGTAAAAGCTAGTAGCTGGGTGCAGGAGATAGGCTAATTGAAAGCTAGGCAAAGGTACAAAGCAGAAATTGTATGTTACATCCAAGGTCAAGGCAGTGAGCTTCTTTCCTGCATTGTGGGACTGTTTTTTGGTTATGTGGCTCCACTGGGATGCTCCAAGGAGTAATTGCACTCCACTGGTAGAGAATCTTGGCACTAGCAGGATGTTCCTCTTTTTGCAGAAGGGCTCTGTCCACTTGCCTTCCACAATGTCCCTGTTTCAGACTGGAAGAGGCTCTGCATGCTACTTGCCACCACTTTGATCTTGGCACTGCTTAGGGAAAAAGCTCTCATAAAGCATGCAAGAGGTGGAGGAAAGCAAAGGGAGATTTGTTACCTGCTGGAGTATTTCCTGAGGCAAGAGAAGAAAAGTAAAGGAAAATGGTTCTGACTTTGGAAAGAGGGAGAATTAGTCAGCCAGCCCTACTGCTAGCAGGAGGGAGGCAGCTGCACTAGCTTGGATAATTTCTGGTTTTGGATTGCAACCCCAGCATGGCTATTTTTCCAGTGCTGCATCCACCTTAGGCATCAGATACTGGGGGAAAGGGCAGCAATAGCAATCTTTTGGCTGTTCCTCCTCATTCCACTGGCCACCCCCTCATCTTGGAGGACAGAGCATCATGTACCACATAGCCCATCTTATTCCCCTAATATAGTGCTGGAGGACTCTCTCCCATCACTTGTAGCAATGAACTAGAATTCAGCACCAGTGTGTAGATTTTTGAATTGCTTGTTTTAATTGTTGTTGTGTGCCTTCAAGTCACTTCCGACTTATGGCGACCCTAAGCTGACCCTATCAAGGGGGTTTCTTGACACGTTTCTTCAGAGGGCCTTTGCCACTGCCATCCTCTGAGGCTGAGAGAGTGTGACTTGCTCAAGATCACCAAGGAGGTTTCCATGACTGAGCTGCAATTTGAACCTTGCTTTTCAGGGTCCTAGTCCAATGCTGAAACCACTATATCACACTGGATCCAGTGTTTGTTTTAATAGTATTAAAAAAAATTTTTTTTTGGTAAAACTGAATTTTGTTTTAAACTGTTGCAACCCATTTTGAGTCCTATGCCAAGAGGAATGCAGGGTACAAAACAAACAAACAAATAAATAAATAATCAATTAGGGAGGAGAGCATCATCTTGTCTTTTGCCTTGGGTAGTAGGATGTTTTGGACTGGCTTTGAAAGACAGGGGGACCTTTCACACTACATAATTATAGCACTATAATTCCACTTTAACTACCATTGCTACATTTTGGGAATCCAGGGATGTGTAGTTTGGTGAGGCACTGGAGCTCTCTGAATGAGAATTCCAAGTATCTCTTCATATACTGTAAGTTGGAGAGGCAACATGGTATAGTGGTTTGAACATTGGATTATGACTCTGAAGACTAGGGTTCAAATCTGTGCTTGGCCATGGATGCCAACTGGATGACCTTGGACACATTCTCTCAGCTCAGAGGAAGGCAAAGGCAAATCCCCTCCGTACAAATCTTGTCAAGAAATCCCTATGATAGGTTCACCGTAGGGTCTCCATAAGTTGGAAACAACTTGAAGGCACACAACAACAAAACTCCAAATACCAGTATTCCATCAGATACAGCTATGGTAGTTAAAGTGGAATCATATTGCTATAAGTGTGTACTGTGAAAGAGGCCAGGAATTTCTTAGCATTCAAACAGAGGTACTTGAAAAAGTGAACACCCAGATGAAGCAGACCTGCTAGTAAACCTGCCATCTCCCTCTTCCCCAGTTCCAAGGCCCAGGAACATATGTAGTTTGGAGTAGGGCATAGGAACAATGCAGAAAGGGTAGATGCTTTCCAGACAACTTGGAACTGAGGCTAGCAGACCCAGAGTCCTTGGCAGAAACTTAATCCATGAATCTCTTCTCCAATAGGAAAAGGACATGGCCAGGGTCTGGGGGAGTGCTCCCCATCTCTGCCTTGTTCCCATGCCTTGCTCGAAAATGAATAAGTGACTGGACATTGGGGCAGGATTTAAACTTTGAAATTGTATGTGGTTTAATTATGCTTTGCTAATGCTTGCTGTTCAGTTCTGACAACAAATGTCTCTGATGTAGATATCTAGTTATTGAATAAATGTTTTCTATTTTTTTTAATTTTATTTATTTATTTATTTATTTTGCTACTGAAGCCTGGATTTCTGAACTAATGGAGTCACTGGACTTGACAAGAAATAGCAAAAATGTTCCTCACTTCATATTGTCGAGTAGATTTCATTGACACTTCATATTGGAGTGGATTTCATTGATAGCGTCCCTTAATAAAATGTGCTTATTAAATTGGTAAACTGTTGTCTTCATCTTTTGATATTCTGAAGCCAAGGCAACCCAGTGTGCTTCTGGAGGCTTATTTTTCCTTCCTACCTTTAGCCAAGGAAAGAAGAAGAAGAAGAAGAACCTACTCAGTGGTAAGGCTTGTTGTTTCCACAATACTTTCCACTTGTTGCTCTCTCATGACAAATGGAAAAACAGAAGAACTGCCATTCTACACCCTCCAGGGTCATGGATCTTGTTACTTCAGCCTGAGACATAACCTGTAATTAACATAGTATCTGAAGGTTGGATCTATTGCCTTCAGACCCTTGTTCTATTTCTAACACTGCTGTTCACTTCCAAAGTGATCTTAGGTAGGTCACAGAGCCTGTCAAGAACTCACTGACCCCCTGAGTAAGATAGATGCTTAGTCCCCAACTTGGTTAGGGCATGCTGAAAAGTTTGACAAAATGAGGGTTGTACAGTGCATGACATTATTATGAACACCCTGGGGAAGAACATGGGAAGTCTTGGCTTCCTGCCCAGGGCTCTGTGTAAGGAAAGCTATTTGAGGAGTGTGAAGTCCTTTCAGTTGCCCTCTGTATGCTGGGAACTCCTTTGGACCCCAGCCAGCCAAGCTGAACACAAGATGACAAATTCCCAAAGGGTGTAAGCAGAGCTTGGAAAATTACTTTTGAAAAGTAATTTGCTCCCATGGTGGTTGTGCGTTCTAGTCTTGAAAAGATTGTCACTGAAGTGTCACCCATAACTGGACAATAGCAGGAAGATTATCTCTTTCCCAAATTTATCACTGCTCAGATAGGTTTGGACAGTTTTGTGTCATAAAACTGTTCAAACTTTGCTGCAGATTCAATACCACATAATGTACTGTGGGCATTTTTTAGCTTAAAGTGGTGCCAATTCTGCATTTCAGAGGCCATTGGACAAGGCAGAGCCCTTCCTTAGTGCCAGAGGTAGGCCTGCCATTAGATAATTTGAAGCAAATGCCTCGATCCACAGATGCTGGGAAGTGGGTGTGTAGTAGGAGCACCGACCTGAGCCATTCCTCCTGGATTGCCTGCCCAATCCCCTCTTAGAGGGCAGATTAGTGTGTGCCTTGTTTGCTGTACTATAATCTGTGGAGGACACTGTATTCACCATTGTTGAAGCATTCAACTGCCAGGCTAGTTTGCTTCTGTACATGGTGGTAGTGGATTTTGTCCTTTGGCTGAGGCTGCAAAACATCTTAGGTGGATCTACTTAGAGCCTCCCTCTACCATTTCCTCACCACCTTTGTAAACTGCTGCCCAATTGTTTGACTTCAGTGGTGGCAGCCCTGTTAGTGAGGTGGTGAATCTGCTCTGGGGTTGATCAGGGCATAGGGTTTAGCACCTTCTTTAAAGTCTGAACTAAAATTGAGAGTGGATTCACTGCCCTGCTTACATGGAAGCCATCAGCCCCTACTGGTTGATTTTTCCTTTTGGACCAGTCTTCACCTCCTTCCAAAGGGAGAAAGGCTGGAAATCATTTTCCTTCATTATGATTATCTCACTGTTTGCTTGTTCAGAAAGGGGAGGTGAACAACCGGTGATGACGAGAAAGAACACCAGCAGCAGGGTTCTATAGTGGAGCCTGGAAATGTTACAATTTGGACTACAATTCCCAGAATCCCCCTTCTAGCATGGTGTCTTTGGTCCATTAACTGCATGAGATCACCCTAGTGTGAGCTGGGCTTCAGACAGCATCTGACTTTACTGATCTCTGATACAGTCATGCCCACATTATATATAATCAAATCCTGACACTTCCCTATTCCCTCACCCATTCAAAAGCTGGCAACCCTATTGTGTACTTGAAAAAGAAACAAATTGCAGCACCTTTAGAAATATCTTAATTAATTTGCAGCCAAACGAAGCTCAATTTGTTTAATTCCTGAGTACAGCAGCATTTGCTCATCTGGGTGTAAGGACCTTATCCCACGCTGCTCTCAAAAGTGGCAAGAAAGCGATATGAGCATCATTGCAGTACTATAGCGCTAGTATAAATATGGCGCTAGCGCTATAATAGCGCTATGGATAAGCTAGCGCTATTGCAATGCCCGCTGAAACCAACATTCAAAAGAACCCGAATGATGCTGCATTCCGAGCGGTTTCTTGTTGGATTCTGAGCGACGTCGTGTAATCACACAGAAAACTATAGCGCTATAGCGCCTGATTCTTAGCGGATTCTGAGCGACGTCGTGTGATCACCCGGAAAACTATAGCGCTATAGCGCCTGATTCTTAGCCGATTCTGAGCGACGTCGTGTGATCACCCAGGAATGTATAGCGCTATAGCGCCTGATTCTTAGTGGATTCTTGCTGCTTTTGGCCCCGTGGGATAAGGTCCTTAGTGAAGTTCCAGGGGCAACCAGAGACTTCCACATAAGTGGTGCAGTGAATTTGTTCAGTATTTCACTCCACAAAGAGGTATCCAATATGATGAATCTTTTTAGGGGAATAGGTTCCAGCACCTTGGATAAAACCTATCAAATCTAAAGCCTAGAATGGATTCACTGTGCCTTTGAAATGGAAACACTGGCTGACCCTGTAAGCTCTGAAATGATCTCAGGCAAGGGATTCTGCTCTGTATTGATCAGTGACCAGGACATTCAAAATGTATGTCCCAGTTGTTTGTCTTACCTTTGGGCCTATGCAAATAAGGAGGTAGCAGGCGGAAAAACAGCAAAACAGACTAAGGTGGGTTGCAGACTGCCAGAAATAGTGCAAATTGAGTCCACTTTTAGGGTTAGGGTTAGTGCTAGGGAATCATGGGGACTGTAGTTTATTGTGGCACCAGAGCTCTCTGATAGAGAAGGCTCAATGTCTCAGAAAAAACCAAAACAATTCCCATGATTCCCTAGCACTAACCCTAACCCTAAAAGTGGACTCAATTTGCACTATTTCTGGCAGTCTGCAACCCCTATTAGTTAATTAATTATATCTGCAGCATGACAAACTGATCTGAACATGTCACAGCTATTAATGTTAAATGAATTTTTAAAAAACCAAATAATCATTGTAATCCAACAAATCCAGTATTTTTAGACATATTTTTATTTAAATTTCATATATATTTGTTTGCTTCCATAGGTAATCCTCACACAGAACCAAAGCCACACAATACTTTAATAGTTAAGAATGGGATTGTCAGCTCTTCATGGAAATGGCTACAGAGTGTTTTCATGCTTTAAAATAATTTGATGATCTAATTCTTGCTTCAAGTATTGGCTTGTAATGCAAATATATAACCTGCACTGGGCATAACATTCATTTGCATTATAATGTTTTTCTTTTGCTGTTTGGTGTGAAGAATCTTCACATAAAACTCATTTTATGGCTCTCTCTTGAAAACACTCTGAGGACCCAAACATAAATCTGGAAAACAGCTCGCAAAGGATCTGTCAAAGGAAATTAAGACTCTAAGAAAATTAAGCGAATTCGTCTTCAGCTCCATTTCTTGTGCCTGTTTCTATGCAGCCATTGTACTGTGGAGAGAGAATTAGAAAGGAAGACTTTTCATACATAAAGCAAACTGCACCATGTGCTAGAGAAGCTTTGTACCTGACCTGTGTATATGTGTGTTGCTAGTGTGATCTGTTCTAGTACAGTTTTGACCACTAGATGTCTCTGTGATCTGTGAAGGAAGAATGTGATCCAGGGCCAACAAAAGGAAGACTAACCTGAAATCCAGGTATGGGATAGTTTACTGTCATCATCATCATGATCATCATCATCCCCTACGAGGAATGACTTGGGGAACTGGGTATGTTTAGCCTAGAGAAGAGATGGTTAAAAGGTGATATGATAGCCCTGTTTAAATATTTGAAGGGATATCATATTGAGGAGGGAACAAGCTTGTTTTCTGCTGCTCCAGAGACTAGGACCCGAAACAATGGATGCAAGCTGCAAGAAAAGAGATTCCACCTCAACATTAGGAGGAACTTCCTGACAGTGAGAGCTGTTTGACAGTGGAACACACTCCCTTGGAGACTGTGGTGGAGTCTCCTTCTTTGGAACTCTTTAAACAGAGGCTGGATGGGGATGGTTTGATTTTGAGTTCCTGCATGGCAGGGGGTTGGACTGGATGGCCCTTGTGGTCT